TAGGAGTGATTAAAAATAGGTGTATCCTCAACTGTTGTGTTTCCAGAACAGAGACGTGATATCTGACCATCCTACAGAGTCCAAGAGGCGTGGGAAGATGATGGTTCTAGTCAGTTTTGCGTAAGGCCTGGAGATGTCAGTGTGTTTCTGCTGCCTTGTCAGCTCCTAGCCTTTTATGACAGCAATAGGTCTCAGTTTAATGGCTTTCTTGCTGATGCCAGCTGCGTGGCAGGTGTTAACCACATCTGTCACGTTCTTGTAAGACTCTGGTGCCTGGAGGGCGAAAAGAAAAAAAAAGACAAAATTATAAAACAACCCAAAGTCACAGGAAGTTATATGTAGGCTTTTGATATCCCCTCTTCTCTTGCAAGAATAGAATCACATGAATCGAGGGTGAGGGTGAACATATTGAGCATCTGGCCACCTTACCTATCTATGAGGCACTTAGTTTTCCAAATGAGCTTTCACCATATTTCAGACAAAATACTAGCTCTTTTAGTTCAGTTTTCCCTATATTCTCAGATAATCCAGTCCACCAGCATGTGAGAATGTCAAGCCTCATTATCTGGCAGAAAGTCACTCCAACTTCCTCCTTACAGACAGCCTTTAAGATTTATCTTCACTGCCCCTTAGAGACAGGAATCAGGGTTGAACTCTAGAGCTTCCCCCTGCAGCATTCTGAGAAGGAAGCTGCTCTTGAACAGAGGTTTTAATGAGATCAACATGTTTGTACAACACCAACACCCATAACAGCATAGTTCCAAATGATTAACACGCTTCTGTGAGTGAGGCTGCGAACAGAAGAGACATTCTATTGTGTTAATGCAGAAAAACTGGAAGTCATAATACTCAAAGTTTCCTAGCCATTCAGAGTTTTCTTCTTGAGCAAATACAGGAATTCATCTTAAAAGAGGCAGATCTCTCATACACTGCTAATAATCTACGTGAGAGCTGCACTGTGAAGCAAGTTTAAAGCTGTGAGAACAAAAATCCAAGAAGAGAATCCATAAAACATACTTTTGTGATGCTAACACAAAGACTTCTCAGGGTCAATAGTAATTATCCCTATTGCCAGGCAGAAGAGGAAAAAACCACTCCTTCCCCCCTGAATCTGTCAAACAGGCACCTCCCCTTTCAGCAAACAGGATTTTAGGGACAGGGAAGACTTCACATTATTTTCCAAAAAATTGGATAGTTCTATTGGAAATCACACAAGCTGGATATTTAGAGTACTAGTGATCACTTAGCACTGCAAAAAAAAAAAAAAAATCAAGTCAGGGAGGGTCATTCAGCCAAGGAGCCAGACTCCCTTTTCCCTCTCAGATAATGAAGAATTAAACTCACTTCTTCCATGACCAGTTTGGGAGAAGCAACACGGATGGCAATCCCCATGTCAGCCAGCTTGTCCAATACATCCTGGAAGTCCAAGTTACGTCGAGATTTGGCTCGGGACAGTGCACGACCCTAGACAGCAGTTTTGTTAGTTCTATTTTTTGTAGCGGTTTGGAAAAACAGAACTCTTTCTTATTAAAGAAAAACACTATTACATTATAAGTAAACAGAAGAGCTGAGAGCACAGACCGCAGTAAGCCACAAAATGGGAAATGAATTTCAACTTTAGGTGATGGGCTCCTGCAAAATCCCACGTCTGGTGTGATGGCTAGGAAAGTTCCATGTGTATAACGTGCTAGTCTGCAAGTGTCTTTTTACCCAAACTTGTCAGACTGTTCAGAAGTCAGAGTTTTACTGGAAGATATTTCTCTTCCTCAGTCATCCTTGTCTCACACTGTAAATAACAGGAGAGAAAACACCTTCTTCTAACTACTGAGGAGTTTTACACGGACAGCCTCAGCATAGTTAATCCTTCTTGTTAGCTAAGAGATACCAGAATTTGGTAAAAGGAGCTCATTCTCCACACGTTCATCCTAACCTTTGCCTTGGATAAAGAAGCATCCCCTAAATTTTCTGCAGGGGTAATCAAAACTATTCAGTTAGCGACAAACAGGACTTTAGCCTGCAGTCCTCCTGGGCTGGCATTACTGTGGCAACTCTCTACTTGTATGACCAATGGATGGATCACACACTGGATGACCCTTAAACAATCTTGTTCTCTGGATAGCAGTCCCATCCCAATCCCTTCCTGAAGTGACTTTTGGACTTACAGCTCCATGGCAAGTAGTTCCGAAGGTCTCAGTCATGCCTTGCTCTGTGCCAGTAAGAACATAGCTACAGGTGCCCATAGTCCCGCCGATCAAAACAGGCTGTCCAGTCAGCTGTGGATGCGAACGAATATTAATTCACCAAGAAAAAGCCTAAAAAAACAATTCTTAATAAAAGTCTGAGAGAAACCACATCTCCAGAAAAGAAGGTCAGGTTCACATTCCCTCAGAGCATCCCTGCTTGCCTTGGGTGCCTGCTATCAAGGCTTCTGGAGAACTAGCTGCACTGAAAGATGCAGACCAGCAGATCAACAGACCTGTGTCCAACAGACAAGGCAAATCACTGAAGCCCGCCCTACGTATGGAACACTTCTTTCCCTTCATGATCTTCCAAGCATGGTGGGTGTGGAGCAGAAGAGGGAGCTCAGCGTCCCAAAGATCTAACACACAGACAAGCAGAATATTGCCATCCCACCAGGGTTCTGGTGCTGTTAGCTCAAAAAAGGAACTCACAGCATTTAGATCTTTGTTAGGGACCCTAAAACTGTCCGATTCATCCAGAATTCTCTTGTAATTTCCTTCTCCCACAGCTGAACTTACTTGATAATCAACAGCGATAAGAGGATGGTGCGGAGGGAAGGCCCTGGTTGATCCCTTTCTGTGCACCAGCAGAGTCCGCTCCTTTCCATCCACTACATGTTGCTCCACTTTGGCAATGTTGTGAGACACATCATAGATGACGTGCATATCAAGGTCATCTGGGGTTGTGTTGAAGACTTTGGCAAAGGCCTAAAAAAAGAGCAAATCAGGATGTGAAATACAGGAAGATAACTGCTGTGTACACGCGGAAGATTTAGAGTCTTTTTAGGAATTAAAAGGAACAAATTTGCTTCGAAGTATTTCCTACTGATAAGTCAGTGACCTAAACGCTTGGCACAGCAGGTAAGAAACTTCAGTCACATTCAGCCACAATGGAACTGAATACCACAGTGACAGAACTGGACTGTCTAGATTGTTTATCTGCCTACTGGCAGCTTTAATGCTGGAATTCAGTCAGATACCAGCTAGACAAATTCTTGCAACTCTGAAAAGATGGCTTCAGCAATGTAAAAACAATTTCCTCGTATCCTCTTCTTCCAGTTCAAGGCATTTTCAAAAATATTCCTTAAATGGCTTCTGCAAGTATAATCTGGTGCTTTTGAGAAGTTTTACATGGATTGCCATGACTGCAGCTTTGAGCAAGGCTCTCCAGAAAACACAGTTTAAGAAGCACAAAAAAGAAAACTATGTTAAATACTGCAGCTACTCTGTGTTCCACATGTCTGGCATAAGGCAGGAGATGTGTACCAAAATATCTGCATCAGAGACAACTCTGCTCCTACCTGTCTTGTTAGAAAAGTCATAGAAGAGCGGAAAAATAGTTCCCAGCAGCTGCCATTCCCTTCAAGTAATCCTGTCCCTCTGCGGAGGCAATCCTGGCACACGCCAGCTGGCGATCATTCACTATGATTTTGTCCCGTTTCATAGCTTTTTCCATAGCCACCAATGCATCTGGGAAATAAACACAGTAAGTCTAAGAGACTTCTTAATTTAGTTTCAATGTGTGAGGTTAACATGGACGTCTGTAGTTTATATTCTAAAACTGAACACATCTGTCTGATGGTCAAACCTATGGCTTCTTCTCAAATGCAACTGCGAATCAGTGGCAGAACATCGTCAACTGTTTGCAAACAGCATTCCCCAAAACTATTTTTAGAAAGAAAAGTTAAGAGGCTTAGATATACCAGAAAGGATCCTCCACTTAAGACAAACACAGTTCAATCTAGTGATAAATTCTAACCACGTCAGCTCTTCACTTGGGTTCAAAACAATAAATGCAGGTGTAACTTTTTTTGTGACCCGAGAATTGCATCTTTTCTTTTTCTGCTACTGCCTTTGCTACATCAGAGATTATGGACTCACTGTCCTAAGCAAATACATACAAAGACAGGCCCTCAACCAGACAGAGGATTCAGTGAAAATCTCCACACTGTCTTGATCACAGAATAATTTTGTTTGGAAGGGACTTACGGAAGGTTTGTAGTCCTATCACTTGCTCAAAGCAGCTCCAGCTAGATCAGGTTGCTCAGTGTCTTATTCATTGAAGTTTTGAGTATCTCCAGGGATGGTGGTTCTACCAGACCTCTAAGCAACCTGTGCCAGCATTTGACCACTTTAACAGTTAAAAAAAAATAAATGAAAATTCTAGTATCTAATTGGAACGTCCCATGTTCCAGCACGAGTCTGCCATCTCTTATCCTATCACATTGTGCGGACACAAAACAGCAAGACCAATACTCTGCATGACCAAAGACAATTAACACATTGGTTTTAAACTTATCATGGCTAAGAGGCTTGAAAACACATGCGAGATCCTGCAGACACAATTCAAAGCAAGCCCTGTCAAGGCAACTCAGAAGAGACTCAACAATTGCACTGTAAGACATGCTATTTGGTGCTGCAGTTCACTGTCGATGACAAGACCGTACTAAGGAGTTTGCATCACTCCAGCTACCTACACCAGTCAGATCGTACCTGTGGCAACCTGGTGGCCCAGACCTCTGCTGCCACTGTGGATCATCACGCACACCTGCCCTTTGTGGTCGATGCCCATCTTCCTGGCAGCATATTCGTTGTAAATGTCATCCACAACCTGGATCTCGGCGTAATGGTTTCCGGCTCCCAGGGTCCCCAGCTGCCAAGCACAACACACTGATCAGACAGCGCTAGTAAAGCAGCCTCTGGGAGGACAGGGGAGAGCTACGGGAACATTGGCGGCAGGGGAAATTGCTACAGCAAGGTTTTGGTTTTAGAGAAGTTTTTCAAGAAAAAAAAAGCCCTATATAAACTGAAAGGAAGTAGAACACAGTAGCATCATCACTGTCCTCTTTCAGATTTATAACTATTTTTACCATTGGAACAAGACTGCAATTAAACAAAAGGACCAGGATCTACAGACTGTGCTGTCACTTTTTTTCCAACTTACCTCGGCCTAGTTGAAAGCTGGGAAGAGTGCAGAGTATTGATAATTAATCTTCAATTTGTACAGGCAAGGCAGACAGTCTTATACTTGGTTATAACTCCACAAGGAAGTTAAAACATCCTGTTAATTAGGTACTTACAACCTTTCAGTCAATTAAAGCAAGATACTGCATTTCCAAGCCCAAATTTTTTCAACTCTGTAACTGAGGATCACTTATTTGCAAGGCAAACGTGAAAATTGAGGACATAAGAATATTTTGAGATTAAAATGCTACAATCTTGCAGCACCACAGTTCATAAAACTAAAGAAGTTATAGATGAGAAAGCTTTACGAAGGGTAGCATTAGCATAGCCATCTCAGAAGTGTTCCACCCAGAGCAATGAGATACTATGTATAGAAATTAAATCCAACCCTTGAACTGCAATTCAAAGTTAGGAGCTAGTTCATTTATTATGCTATCCTTCCTTGGCCTGCTATTAACCTGCTGAGCAAACAAGAAGAAAAGTTGCAAAGTAACTTGTCTGTCTCTTAAAAACAAAACTAGATCTGGATGGGGAAATGCCACCAAACATGAATTCCAGTGCCATGTATTAACTGATAAAAAAAAAAGGATGGCCCTGGGGACCTTGGGTATGCCCAGTATCGTTTGCCTCCGTTACAGTTCTGTCAAGCATTATTCAGAAACAGCCCCACCATCTCACCTTTCCCCCTGCCCAGAAATGCCAGGCAGAGTTTCAGGAAAAGACACAAAATTAGAGCGCTACCTGCTAACCTTTACATTTGAACCCTGGGAGCACTCATAGCCCTCCTGAAACATATCATTACCTGAGGCAGGCCCCTCTTCTTGGCTCTTGAGGAGACCTTGTTGGGGTCAGCCTGCAGCATTCTTCCATATTCCTCACAGTGCTCCTTGTCCTCTGCCCAGGCATAGCCTTCCCGGAGAGACCAGTCCACACCCATCTCTAGCGCCTCTTCCAAATCTCTGCAATTATCAAACACCTACATAAGGTGATTATCCTTGGATATACTCAAAACTCCACTGGATACGGCCCTGAGCAACCCGATGTAACTTCGTTGTTACATCTACCTTCAGAGTTAGCCCTCCTTTGTGCAAGGAGATGGATGAGCTGACCTCAAGAGATCCCACCCAACCTAAATTATCCCACGATTTTACGATCAGCTAACTCCCCTAAGAAGAACTCCAATTTCTTAATACTTCATAAAAATCAAGCTATAATAAATATATTAACTTTAGATAGTCACTACTTTTTCCTCTTTGTTGTGTGGGGAATATCTATTTTCTCTCTCATCCCTTTCAAAAAAACCCTTTACATCCACAGAGGTTTTCTGTCAGAAGAAATGAGAACCTTTCAAAAACCTGTAGTTATTTCAGGGTTTTAAAAGGGGGAAGAAACAGCTGACGGTGCAGCGATGATTATGCCAGTCCTCCTGGTGAAGTACATATGCAGAAAGAATGGAAACAGAGTTAGAATTACTTTTTTGTTCTTAAAGTCTCCCACTGATGAACCTTTCATTGAAACAAAACACCAGAGATGTCTCCTCTAGTGATGTGTGCACAAAGTAATTCTCTTACTTGGCGTTCATGGGGATGACACCTTTGGAGCCAACACCAACAGGAATGTGGTCAAACATAGCCTGGGCAAGCTGCTCCTTGACAGGCTGCACGTCGCTTTCGTCCAAATTTGTACGTAGTAAGCGGACACCACAGTTAATGTCAAATCCGACACCACCTAGACGTGTAGAAAAAGCCACGGAGTTAATAAAGGTAGTGTGCTGATGGTGAGCACTTGCTGAATATTCATCATAAATCAGTGTCCCTGCCCACAGTGAGTATTTATGCAATGCTGTGATCTTACACCTTTTCTGACACAATACTGGGAAAAAAGCAGAAGTGCATTAAGCTTCATTTTAATAGATTTACATGAAGCCTCAGATTTCAAGACAGCCAAAAATGTAATCTTGCAGAGAAAAACTTTAAAACTCTTAAACCCCCCCCCAGTTTTTCAGTCCCCAGCATATGCTCTAGAGACATAGCTGTACAATTGCCTACAGAGCTCTGCGTTTACAAAGCTGCTCCAGCAAGCAGCCAAAGAGAAGCAGACACAACTATAAAATATATTGTCCACAGAAAGTAGAGAAGAGGTTCCTGTTGTTCTGCCTAAGGTCAGAAGAAAAGTGACAGATCTTAGCATGGCTCCCTGATGTAAGATGTCCTTGAAAGCAAGTCCTTTTTGAATCTTCACTGGAATAAATACTAATTAGTTATAGTAAGTGATAAATACTTACAAGGAATATAAAACTTCAGTGCTTAGTGTTTTGCTTAACCCTTAGTATTTAATAAAACTAAATACTGCAGGGCAAGGCTTAATGTGAAAGATCAGTCGCACTACCTTTACTAATGAAGGCTTTGGTACTAACTAGTGTCAGAGGTGGGGATACCAGACTAAGAGATCTTGGGTTTGAGTCAATCAGGAACACTGGAACTGCCTGAAGTAAACCTGAAACATGAATATCATGTTTCATGACAACCACAAAAGCATCTCCAGACCATCAGTAATTAAAGACCCAGGTGTTTATTAAAAAGATACTTAAATAAATTTATTTTTTAAAATAATATTTTAAGGTCACTTTTTTAATAAAGTGTAAAAATAGTCTCAAAAGATGTTTTCAAAAATTGCTCAAAGAAAATCATAGAATCAGGGAATGGTTTGGGTTGCAAGTGACCTTAAAAGATCACCTAGTTC